ATTTTTGTCGGCACACAAAGGACAAATTATAATCCGACTAGCAAGTTCTTTCTACCATATTATGGTGGGCACTAATTGTTGAAATATTCCTCGAATGGTTATTTCCGAGTTTCTGCTTTCTTCTGCTCCTTGGCTGAAAAACACAGTTTTTATCATTTACAAGAAAATTAAAAAAAAAATGGAGGAAAAAGCAGTTTCTCCAAGGGTCACTGTGTCTTACCAGCCTTTTCTTCTTCTCGCTTTCTAGCAGCTTCTTCCCTTTGCTGGCGTATGAGACTTAAACGTTCTGCATGAAGAATGGATCGTGAAACTTAGATGGAGAAAAATGTGGTCTGGAAATAATAGGGGAAGGAAAGAAATTTCCTTCAACCAAAGCCATGCCCATCTCACATGAGCATGTATTGCTATCTAAAGAGAATGAGCTGTAAATATAGTTAAAGAGAATAATATTGGTTGAAGTATCCATAATTATCTTCAACCCATGTTCAAAAACATAATATTCACATTAGTGCCCCAAGAAAATGTGATCTCTTACCTAAGTCTTTCCTAGCTTGATCTGTTTTCCCTTGTTCTTGCAGCTTCATATATCGCTCATGAGCCCTTTGTTTCTCTATCTCCTCCCTGCAAACAAATTGAACCACGCAGAGTAAAACAAAATTTCTTCAGGTACAACCTAGATTCCAAAGATCGAATCCTAAAAGCAAGATATTATATCCTGTTTTGGCAGGACCATAACAGGGTAATAGTTTTTTCTACATCTCAAAAATGAGTTCCTTCTTCAATAGAGGATGCGCAAAGTCCCATTCACTAACCTTTCCCGCCTTGAAAGCTCCGTTGTTTTCCCCATCTGAAAACACCATCTAACAACTTTACTTCTCAATTTAATTTGATCACAAAAAACATAGAACAACAATGATTCTGAAACTTACATCAACATCTTTAGCTTTCAAATTCTTTGCTTTCACCAAATTAGGATTTTCAATCTGAATAATACCTTGAGTTCCTTTCCGCTTTTGCTACACATTATTCAACAATAAAACAAAAGGTAGTTTCTGATTAACAAGTCATTCCAAATAATAAATTAAAATAAAATGCAATTGACGCGTGATTATTTACTAACATCAGGATCATCTTCGGATTCTTCTTCGGATTCCTCTTCCTGTTTTTCCTCTTCATACTCAGCTTCCTCCTATATATTTTAAAGACAATCTCTCTCACACAGTACTGACTTTAACAAGACTATTATTTAAAAATATAACTACTAATCAGAGCTGAGAGACAGACTCGTTTAAACGTTCGAGGACGTGTTGAGGTGCCAGCAACTGCAATATATTACAAAGCCAAAAAACAAACAAAGAAAGAAAAGTCAGGAAATTCTTAATTCACCTATCACATTACATGCTAAAAAAATTCTCCTGAAAATTGAAAAAACTATTGCAACCTAAAAGTTAGCCAAAACCCATAAATAGTTGTAGTTGAAACCAGATATTGATATAAAAAGGCAGAATAGAATCCAATCGAAGGCCAACATGCATAGTTTTTCAAATAAAAAGTACACACAAACCTAAACAATTAAAAGAAGATGAATTTTCAAACAACAGGAATCATTTTTTTTTTTTGAAAAAAAAACTTTTTAGTATAATAAATACATCGAAATAAGCAACAGAATAATCAAGTTCTCAGTGAAGTGAGTCCAGATAGATCCAGTGAAAAAATAAAAGAAACCCACAATTTAAACTTTTTTTAAAAAAAAGGGGGGGTGCCACTCTTACGCATCTGTTCGGGGGTAGAGAACTGGCGGTGACCGGTAGGCTTTCCCTTGAACTTTCCTCTTCCCATCTTGACAAACCAAAACAGTAAATATTAAGTAAAAAAGAGAAGGAAAGGAAAGTTGAGGGAAAAGGGATGGATAGTTGGCCTTTTTATTTCTTATTATCAGCAGGAGGACGGATCTGCTTGATTGAAAGTGGAAGGAAGAATATTCTCTTTTATTAGGAAAAACAAAATATATCTCTAATAATGGATAGGTTCCAAAAGCACAAACCCTAGTGGAACAAACTGGGACCAGCTTGTAGTAGCTGTGTGGAAGGAGCTTCTGTGTCTGTTTTGTCTACAATGGTTTCGATTAATGCACCGAGGACACGTAGTAGATTAATTGATCAGACGGTAGAGGAGAGATGTATGACAGAAGCACGGCAAGGCCACGGAGAGGAGAGAGATGTCAATAACAACAATGTCGGGCCAAGCCCAAAACAGCTCGACCCATTTGACGTCTTGCCCGAAAGAAAATTTTGAAATGTCATTAATTCCAATTTAACAAGCATAATCAGCTAGTATATATTATTAGCTATGGACCCGCGATGCACTATAGGCTACACCTAGAATTATTATTTTTTTTGCACTGAAAAATAAAGTTCAAGTACGGGACAGCACCGAAAATTTTCTTACCCATCTCCTTGATTATATTCAATCCTATCACACAAGTCAATATCTTATACTTATATTTAATTAATTAGTTTAGTTTTTTTAAAAATAATTTTAACAAAAAAAAATAATGAATAAAAAGATTTAGGGTAACTGTAATTTTTAAAATAAATGATAACTAAAATAAATTGTATTATTAATTATCTTTTATTACTAAAAATTTGTTATGTCACTGAATTCAAGATTGCACCTAGTCTAATTTATTTTTATCATTCTCTATTATTATATTAAATTAACAATTTTAAAGTTGAACATTCTTAATTTTATGATTTTTATTAATGAAACCATGTTAATAATAAGTTGACTCGTTATACCTACGTTCTTAAACCTATTTCACATTTGAAAAAACAATGATAGGAAATAGGTAAAAAATCTAGATTTTAGCTACAATATTTAATGAATAAAATCATCGATTATTTAAATATTAAATTTATAAGTTTTTTTATTAACATACATGTTCGGATTAGCTTGCGTGTACCTCAACTAATCTCACGGATCTTGAAATTATCAATCATATAAATTTTTAATGGTCTTAATATTTGTAAAACTCGAATTGATGGCTTCTAGAGAACAAACTTAAAGTCTAACTAGTTGAGATATACCTCTCAAAATTATAAGGTTATTTTTCTTGTGATAAGATCTATTAACAATAATGTTAATAGTCTTTTAGAATATTTTTTAAAAATTATTTTTTTGAAAAAAAAATAAAAAATGAGTTAATCCTTGTTAATCTCTGAAATAGCAGCTTGCTTAAAGTTTATTATATCAAAGATTACAACTAACAAAACATATTTTTAAAAACAAAGAATATTTATTATTATTATTATTATTATTATTATTTTGGATGAAATGGGCACTAGACTCATGCAGGTGGGCAAAAAAAAAAAAAAAGGGCTTTGACCCACTTTGTATGACAAGTTTGAAAGGTATCATATATGTGCTGGCTCT